ATATATATATATATATATATATATTAAAGTATTTCTGATTCTGATCCATCTTTACTTCCTAATAATATCCTTAATTAATTGAATATAGGATCAAAGGCTCCTGCTGTGAGGCCAGAGCCTTTGATGACAGTAAAGAGAACTTTAATCAGCAGCATCTCTCCAAGGCTGAGCCGTACTGAGGCGGCCATGTCTAAAAACAACATTTATTCAAAATTAACCGATAGGTTTTTTCCTAATTTCAATCAATAAAAAAATGACCAAAGTCAGAAATAACTTTCAGAGTGAGCTTTAGTTCCAATCATCTGTTCTGGGAATGGAACTGAATCAGAGGCTGCATCAGTGTAGCTTTAACCATAAAGGGGGCGGGGCTTCAAAGCTCTCTGCTGGACAGGGAAGTTAAAACCCTCAAACAGTGATGTTTATTTCAACGTTCTGTAAAAAAACAGGACAGCAGCTGCAAGTCACATCTGAAGGTAGACCGACTACGTCACAGCGTTTCTCCAAAGGATCCTGTAAACGCTGCTGACCAATGTGTCCGTCATTGTGGCTGATCTGAAGGATCCATCGGGGGTTTCCTTCATGATTCAGAGCTGGTTGAAGCGGCTGTGTCAGATGCTAAAATTGCGATAAAACATTAAATAATTTGATCTCAAACTTTCACAATTTTTTGAGGAAAAGTTAGGTAAATTGAAATATCTACTAATTAAAAGGTGTTTGTTTTTTCTCAGCAGCAGCTCTTCCCACGTGATCTGTGTGAACCCCGTGTGACGGTAGAGTGGGCCGTCCTTCCTCTCTCTGCAGAGGAAGGCGTCTGAGGGCGTTGAACCAACCGCTGGGTGGATGTTAAACGTAGAACTCCTTCAGATCAGATCCAAACGCTCAAGTTAAACTTTAGTAAATTAAGTTAAAAGTCAGCCAGGAATAATCAATGGATCATTATTAATACCTAAAACTAATACGTTAACGGTGATTTAATAAATTTAGTAGGGCTGGGTATTGTTAGGAACCTCGCGATTCAATTCGATTATTGCTGTTGGTTTCGATCCGATCCGATGCAATTCGATTCGATTCAATGCTGATTTTTGAAGCCGTGGGACTCCAGGAGTTTTAAGAGCAGCCTGGGATGCCAACTGGTGCACATGAGCAAAGCAGCTCAGATATCCACAGCAACTAGCATTTTGGCAGCATTATCTGTAACAACAGCGGCTACTTTTCCGGTTATGCCGCATTGCCTCCATTGACATGTTCGCCATGCCTCCATCAACATGCTCCCTGTGAAGCGGCCTGGTCTGAAGCACATTTGAAACTAATTCCCACTCATTTGATATGAAATGAGAAGTGATGGTTACGTAGGGGTCAGTCGCTCTCAAAGTCCAGCCATCGCACGTCACAAGACTCTTT